AGAAAACCCTAAGTACCTTCGAGTCTACTCCTATAATCAATCCGTCGACTCCGTTCCCACTATACGCAATACCGTTGCATATTCAAACGTATCTCCGAGTGCGAATGATCATCGTTGACCGCGGACCGTTTTAGGCTTATTAATTACTTATCCGTCTTCCGTTTCTCGTGTCTTCTCGCGCTCGCTCGGCGCGAAATCGATAGGCCAGGACATATTGAGCACTCGCTTGCGCTGTCTCTTTCTCGACGGGTTAGGTTGTCCGACCTCTGTAGGGGTACAGCTACATTGCAGCTCATGCATAATACATTACGATCCGACCTGGAGTAGATTTATATTTACTCTCGTACCGGCGAATAATTCGTTAAATATCGACAGGCACCGCATGGTTCCCGCGCGAGCTTTTTACGTCGACGAATATCCGACACGAATATTCCCCGCTTCGTAGATCTTCGTCTTATTGTACGATCTAAGCTAGTGCAACAGTTGTGCACGAATTGTCAGAGCCTAAACCAGGCTTCTCGAACGAATGCCAGTCTACGATTGACTCGAATAATTCTCGCGGCACGACCGCGAGTCATGTGATCTCTGAAAATCTTATAAATAATCCTTTTTATACGACTGATATCGTTGCCAAATATAGAATAACTTTTATACACGAGCAGTTTAGTTTGCTTTTTACTATTCGACAAAGTATTATGTTATTTTATTGATATTCTGGATTTCTCAAGGTCGGATTTATAATTACGGAGGAATCCGCGTGCTCTGTTAAATTGGCAGTTTAACATTTTACCGTTCTAGTATTTTACTATGTCTGTATTCTATTATTTTCGTATTTTACTATATTGGTTTCACCATAGTTTTATTTTATGAAAAAAAAGTGGTATTGATTTGCAACTCCAGTTGTCCATGAGTACAATTTCGAAAATTTTAATGACGTGTCGCAAAATTTGGCTGCGGAAATGCACATACGGGTATTTTCAGGATTTAATATATTTGTCAGGACAGAATTTCACACAAATGTCGTGCTATCGGCCATCTACTCTGGATAGATGAGCCGCGAATGTCGGCAACTCCGACTGACGTGTTACCGCGACACTCAATATCGCCTTAGCAAATCGAAATCAATTTCGGATGCATCCGGTGGAAATCGGGACATCGGTTTTGAATGTCGATCGCGTGGTTTTGAAAACTCTGTCAACAAATGATTCTGAATGAGATCACCTGTTTTCTTTCTCTTCTCTTATCGAACGATCATTTCCATGCAGATGTTTCAGGTCTGTTTTTTACTTCTGCACTCTCTTTCTCGCTTTTGTCAAATATCAAACATATACCTGTCTCTCTTTAAGTTCCAAAAGTGTATACTAGGTCATCCATAGAAAATAGACCTTTTATCTATTCCTTTAGGATTTTTCGTAAGCTGTGATGCTGTAAACACGATGACGTTTGTTCGTCTTTTAGATTAGCTTTACTATTTAGTCTCTGTAATTTCTCTGTAACAGATTATTACTTATTACAATTATGATATTTTCTACCATAGGAAAATATTTCGATTTTGTCGAAATTCTTCAATATCAGATTCTTACCAATTTAACTAATTGGCGAATTAGAAATTCGTTTAATACTTTGATTATTGAGTTAATTTCAGCATTGAGCTTAATAAATCTAGTGATATTATTTTAATATTTTATTGTTTTTCAATGTCTTAGTATAATTTACATTGATTTTTTTAATCTTAAATAGTCGGTAAAATATTGATTGAGTAAACAAAATCATTATCGACAAATGAGTGACGAGACCTGCGCGAATTTTACATGTCACTCAAATATGGATGACATGACAGTTTAAAAAAGTGTTAAGTAAACAATTTACTTTTCGTTTATCTATTTTCATGGATATCTTACACACTGTGCACGCGAACATAAGGTGTTTGAATAGAAATTGAATTGTTCAGCGGAATACATTTGGATTATGATGAATAATCCTCGTTCAATCTGATCTCTCGAGAATTCGGTCGAATGCTGTCGCGAAACAAAGACAGGGAAGGGGGAGGAGAGGGGTACACACCTCTCGTGCAATGTTACGCGGAAATCGAGCGGAAACGCGGATAACGCCTTAAATAGAATCGTGCACTTGCAACACTTGCATACCGCGGTGCATGACTCGGGCAGTCGCTGTGCGTTCACATACGACCGGTCTATAACACAATTGTTATTTTCGTCGACTCCAAGGCGCGCATACATACTTTGTAATGCGCCAGCTCCGTATAAAACGCAGGTCGATTCTTGAACCGTACCGTCGCCGCGTTATTTCTGGCGGGCGAAATATTAATAAAGTGTAAGGATGCGCTACGTTTGCGTAAACACGCGGCCTTTCGCCGGTCGAATCGCGCATCGACTGACGCCAGTGCGCCGTTAAACGGTATTCTCCGTGTTTTTCTATTCATTTCTCTTTCCACGTGCACTTCCTATCACCGCGTACGACTACGTAACGACTCGTAATCTCGTTGTTAACTTTGTTTCATAATCACCTCTTTTTCGCGATGCGCCAAGTATTTTTTTTTGCCAAGGTATCGCGATACACAGGTTCTCTTACACTTTGCCTCATGCCCGACCAGAGGAAAATACTACGTCGTGAAAGAAATTAATTATGCTTTAACACGTGCGTCGCAAGATTGCAAATTATATTCCAAACGATTAGGTATCGCGGATTGTTTGCCGCATATCGATTTGATTTCCCGATAGTAATCCTCGAACGAGCGAAGATTTGAGAAATCGTTAGTGTGCAATTTCCCCAAATCGCTATGAACTGCATTTATGACTTTTATCATCCCCAAGGTTTATTTAAGACTCAATTCCACTATTAATCCTAATCGGTATTTCGGTACATTCTTTGATTGATATTCGCAAGTTTAGAAAGATGTTTGTAACTTAAAATTCTGTAAGGTTGAAAAACATTTGTATATTTTTTACAACGTTATTGAAGAAAATGTTCGGATCCATTGAACCGCGAATATCGATTAGGGTTAAATAGAAAGTTAAAGCTATGGAATATACATAAATTTGGTATTTCTACATAACTATGCAGTTTTTACTTAGTTTATTGCATTTTACATCAGCAAATCTTTGCATCAATAAAAATCTAAAGACAGTTTCCATTATTATTTGTTTCTCAAGTTTCTCAAGTCATTGTATCACACTTGTGCTGTCTATTATGATAGAAAAATTTTTTCACGATTTATAAAGAAGTGTGTCTGTTTCCGTCGATGTAGATTAACTTTAATCTCGATTCAATTTATTCTTCATTTTTATTTTAATTCTTAAAATTAGAAAAAGATGAAAATTAAGTTGAACCAAGATTAAAATTAATCTGTATCGAAAGAAACAGTCATTAAACAGAATAGATAGTCAACAATGAAGGTGCATGTCGATACACATTTCTCTTTCTTCATAACTTTCATATTTTTTCCTACTTAACGCGTATTGCTTCTCGAAGTTTTGAGTAAGCTCAATCAGTCGTATCATCGAGAAAGGACAATCGACAAAACGATGAAGCCAAGATTATCGTCATAATCGATATAGAAGGAGTGATAGAAAGACGAGAAACAAAAGCGCGCGGTTTTTTGGTTTGCGCCGCTGCGATCGGAGCAAGTCTCGCGCGCGGTGCTCCGCTCTTGTTGACGCGAGCGAAACGATCACGTCGCGCCGGTCGCGCACGCGTCTCGTTGCACCAGCCAGAATGCGCGAGAATGCGAAAGAACGTGCGAGCGGTGCGAGTGCGAGGAGGACGCGGCTTACGGCTTACGATTCTTACGAAGAGCCAGCGACGAGCTGGCAATAAGCGGCGCGAGATGGCGCGCGCGAGCACTGGAGGGCGCGATTGGCTGGCTGCCGGCTGACGTCCGCGGCGTTATCGACCAATAGGCGGTCGCGCCGCGGCGACGTATCTCGGCTCACCGTGGCAAACTTCAGAGGCGAGGTGGACCGACTGGTACACGATTACCAGCCGCGACGACTCGTTTCCCCCTCTCGCTCGCTCGTGCCTTCTCTCTCACTCCCTCCGCTCGCTCTATCTCTACCTCTTGCTCGCTCGCTCGCGCGCGCGCGCGCGCGCTCCTCCGTCCGTCCGTCTCGCTCGCACGCACATACGCACGCTCTCTCTCGTTCGGTTCTCAGCGCGACTTCCTCAAATCTTTATTTCAGGCTCGACCGCGAACTCGGGGCGAACTGGTCGAAGCGCGCGCGACCGCCCCGGTTTTTTAACCGTCCTCACGGCAAGCTCACCACAAGCGGCTACCGCCACCGCCGTCGCCGTCGTGCTGGTCGTGCAACGTCGTACATACGCGCGACTGTGTGCGCCAGGGCAGCAGCACCCGTCGGGCCGTCGGAGTCGCGGAGAGACGACGCGTGTCTAAATTTGAATACGCTCTGGTAGCGTAGAGGAGAAGCAGTGCCGTCCGCGCGTGTTACGCCGTCGGAGCGCCGTCTTCGCCATCACCGTCGTGCTTGTCACGCCTGTAAAGTATATTTTAAGAAAGACGCTCGTTCGCCGTGCATCTCTAGTCAACGTATCTAGTCCCCGCGATCACGTCGCGGATAAAAGCTAACCTATCTTTCAACCGCGCGCGCGACACACCAAGTACAAACGGAGTTCGTAGCGCGCGTACCGACGCACACACGACCTAAGATATATTCACCACGTTATCAATCGAGATAAGTCCCTATAAATATTATCGTGCGAGTGATTCACGGCGAAGGTGAAGGAAGCGGAGGGAGAAAGAGAGGGAGGGAGAGAGAGAGAGAGAGAGAGGACGAAGAGGAGGAAGAGGCAAGAGCGAAGAGGGACTCGACTTCGACTTGGATAAAATTGGCAAACGTTTGCGGTTGATTTTTCTCATTCGATACGCACCACGACGTAAATCGTCGACTAGCGACGTTGATCAAGACCGAATCGTCGCCGACGGACCGCGAGAAAGCAAGAG